CACAGCCAAGAGATCGGCGTCAATACAAACAAAAATCAGTGTTGAAGGAATAAATACGAAATCAACGGAATACTTCTACAGAAAAATAATATCAAAGAAGATCGCTGGGAATAAAATATTAGAAAACGATAGCAACGAAAAAATCTGGTAAAACGACATAACTAACGTAGCAACAGAATCGCTTAGAGAAAAGAATGAAACAAACACTAACATATAAAAAAACCATAGTTTAGATTACCACTATAACCACTATAAACGAATAAAAAGTGAAACGAATACTTTAGTCAGACAAATAAAAGGAGAACACTGGCAGAGCTTTTCAAAACAGACGCGCAAAATAAAAAAAATATGGAGAAAAATCGGAGGACAAAAAAAAGAATTGAACAAACTAACAAAAACGAAAAACATTCGAAGGGAAACATGGGAAGACTACTTTCGACCCCTATTTGCCAAAACTGACAATATCGAACCACCAACGCCAGAAGTAACGACAAACACAGAAATAAATAGTGAGAAGGAAGAGGCAAAGAAAGCATTAATGAAATTAATAAACAGAAAATTAATAGGAGATGATCGAATACCGAGTAAACTCCTTAACTACGAAGGACCCGATCTGACCAAAAAATTATTAAAACTAATCAAAAAACGAATAGATCAAAACAAAATACCACAAGAATAATGGAGATCATGTATCCTAGTACCTCTCTTCAAAAAGTAAGACAAATTGGACCCTGAAAGTTACAGAGGCATTAATACTAATCTATTAAATACAACAATAAAATTAACAGCCAAAGTGATAACAAATAAACTGAATAATGTAATATTTGACGAGTCTTATTTTCAGGTTCTTATTATTACTTCGTCGACATAATACGTTTTTCATTCGGAAGAATATTGTTTCGTTCGGTCTTTTTAATGCGGATTTTTATTTTTTAGTTCATATATCAATTATCATTTATATTTAAATCGAGATAAGTAATGTTCTTGGTTTTCTATATTTCAATAACATGTGCTGTATTTATGTAGTCAATCACCTGTGTTTTACTGACTACCATATATTTAGTTCTTAAATATTAAGTTTTAGCAGTATTCTTCGAATACTTCAGTAACCCTGTCAGTTAATATTAGTTCTTTCACAACACTCGCAAGCAACACAGTGTCATCTGTATATCTCAGATTTCTAATCTTACTTTCATTTACTGTGATACAGACATCAACCCTAGTAAGTGCCTCTTTGATTATATGCTCGGAATGCAGATTAAAAAGCAGTGGGGACAAGACGCACTCTTATCTAACCCCATAAAGAATTTCAATTGCTTTAGAAGTATCTAAATAAATTTTGATATTTTCTTGCTAGATGACACCCAGTTCCCAGATATATTCTAGAACCAAGCCTTTAAAACATTAAAATAAAACTATTGAATGTCTTAAATCATTAGTAGGTTTAAATATATAATCTAATTCTCTTGTATCTATAGGGTGCAGGGATGAAATGCACTGTTATTTCAACTGTGCACGAATCTTCTCCAGATTTTCCTCTCTTATGCTGTTACCTTAGTTTCTCCTAATGCAACTCCTATTTTTTCTAGGATGGGTGGAGCCTGCGTGGCTTGTGGAACACATGAATGCACTTCTGGAAGCACAAACCTTTCCTGAGCCTTGGAGGACATCGAGGTTAATACTGCTTCCCAAAGCTAGGAAAAAGTATCGCCCCATCTGTCTTCTTCCATGCATCAGTAAGCTAGAGAAAAAAAGAAAACACTCTTTTTATTTATGTGACTAAAGTATTCGTTTCACTTTTTATTCGTTTATAGTGGTTATATGCCTGTTGTGATTTTTGTATTCTGTATTGTAAAGAGGCTTTCTTCTTTTCTGCACATTTTGTCTCTTTCTGTCTAAACTATGGTTTTTTTATATGTTAGTGTTTGTTTCGTTCTTTTCTCTAAGCGATTCTGTTGCTACGTGAGTTATGTTGTTTTTCCGTTTTTACCAGCTTTTTTGGTTGTTATCATTTTCTAATATTTTATTCCCAGCGATTTTCTTTAATATTCTTTGTCTGTATAAGTATTCCGTTGATTTCGTATTTATTCCTTCAATACTGATTTTTGTTTGTATTGACGCAAATTTACATATCTATGTTTCGTGAGCCTTAAAAAGGCATTTGATATTGTCAAATTAAAGGACATTATCTATTTATTGTACGTAAGAGAGATACCTCTAGGAATAATCAAAACGATCAAAAATATTTACCAAAACAACACAATAAAGATAAAAGTAGGAGAACTAACTGACTGAATTGATGTTCCCATTGGGATGAGGCAGAGAGATTCTCTGAGTCCTCTATTGTCGAACCTAATCATGGATGAAACAATGAAAAAGTAAGAACTAAAAAAGGATACCAAACAGGGGAAAAATAACTTAAAATTATCTGCTATGCAGACCACCTACTACTATTTTCTCAATGTGAAGTTGATTTACAACGTATGTTGCATCAATTTAATATATTTGCCAGAATATTTAACGTGTTAATTTTCCCAAAAAGACACATTTCATGGTTATAAAAGTAAATTTACTAGTGTTGCCCAGAATCGGTCTTCGTCTTGCAGTCTTGGTCTTGTTCTTGCGTTTTTGCAAGACCGAGACCAAGAGCAGGACTGCCTAATTTTTACAAGACCAAGACCAAGACTAACCGTGCAAGACTTGAGCAAGAACAAGACTAAGCTTGCGAGACTCTTGCGTCTTGCAGTTAGGACTGAGTGTGGTTTGAAGGAGTATAATAGTTCGGGTTTATGCTTAGAGACTATGAGACGCAAAGAAGTATTACCAAAAATTTGGAAAATTTGACTTGTGCATTACGAAAAATACCATAAACATACATAGCGAATGAAAATATTCATTACAAGAACGCTTAAAAATTTGACACGTACTCAGAGGTCATAATTACAATCTAAAAATAAAATATTTTGTACAGTCTTTCCCAGCACACTACTTCTTCACTCTGAAATTAATTGTGCAGATTTTAAGAATAGCCCCTTCTAATAATAAAATAATATCTTTGCTTTGCGACGCCGACAGTACTATTGTATCGAAACTATTTAAAAATGTATCACCTTAGCTGATAAAAAATATAATTAGGTTAGCATATGTTTTTCCTTATAATTTAGTTACGAGGAATTTAAATACCACAAATCTTATCGGCTAAGACTAAACATCTTTTTTGCTGAGTATGCGACGATACCATTCAAAATTTGCTGAAAGAATGCGGCTAATATTCAAAAGTAACGAGATGAACAAACAAAGAGATAATGCCGATTACAGTGTAAACATATTACCGATATATTAAAAGTAACGATAATAATTCTCGGTTTTTTATTCAGTACAAGATACATACAAGATCTATTAAATACCTTAGCATTATACAGTAAAACTGACATTGAAACGGACAATTGAACGATTTTAACATCACAGATAGTGAATGGAAAACACTCGAAAAAGTACATAAGTTTCTAATAAACTTTTAACTTTTGTCAACAAAACTTGGTGGAGATAAATATGTTACATTACCACTAGTGATTGTATCATTCAATCTCTTGCTCGATAAAATTGAATCCATTGTAAAACAATTAGATGAGAAACCTAATTGATCTGAAGTGGATAAAACGCTCATTCTTCGTTTTCAAGCAGCTCGAGACAAAATGCTTAAACATTATAAGAAGAGCAACTGGATTTATTGTATCTCTTTAATTTTAGGCCCAAGGCATAAGGCTCAGGCTTTTGACATAACGTTATGGGGGAAGTCAGTTGTTTAGACATTCACTAATTTGGTTGGTGTTTTTATGGTTATGTTAATTCAAGCTTAAAATGTACCTACTGTGTTACGTTGTTCAAGATCTAAAGTAACGTTTAATAAATAGCAATAGGCTAATGGGTATTTGTGAGACTTGCAAGACTCTTGCTGCAAGACCAAGACCAAGACCAAGACTGGAAGCGCAATACCAAGAGCAAGACCAAGACCAGGTATTTGGTGCAAGACCAAGACCAAGACTGTCTAAGTCTCGTCTTGTTCTTGCATTTTGGCAACACTAAAAGTTACTAAGATGTAAATTAGAACTGGACGATCAGATAATAGAACAAGTGATATGGTTTAAATATCTAGGCATTACACTGGATAGCTACGGAAAATTCGAAACAAAAGTGAAATATAAAGTAAATAGAGCAAACAGAGCTGTAGGTTACCTTAATAAAACAATATGGAAACAATATGAAATAAAAATTGTATAGGAAAATATATATAAGGCAGAATATATAAGACGTATATGGGTTCAGTTTACTGAAAGTACAAGCTGAATATAGCCTCAAATGTCAACTATGAAATAAAATATTTTGGTTTGACAGTATTGGAGTGTTTTTATAATGCATCTGTTGTGTGCTTCAAATATAAAAAGAGAAAGCTTTTAAAAAGTACATTTTGATTATACTATTTTATGAATTCTGCAATTTTTAATTTATATGAAACAATAACGAGTAAATATTTGTCTCTTTCGAGATTCATTACAAACATCCGTTGCACTCTGGCAACTACTGATTTGACGATTGCCAAATCTATCCCCTAATCTATCAAAGGGCAATTGCCAAATAAAGTCTAACACATTTCTAAAGTTTTATCTCTTTATATTTGAAGCATACAGCATATACATTATAAAAACATGCCAACACTGCTAAACCAAAATTTTTTGTTCCACGTTTGACATTTGCGGTTATAATCAGCTGGTACTTTCGGTAAACTCAACCCGTATATGCAAGGTAAAGAACATCAAGGACTGGGTAAGAAATATCGAAATATTTCTATATTATTGTGTTTCTCTACTAATAGGTAGTTGCCATTTTATATTTTTGCATAATTTTTATCTAAGTTTAAATGTGTGGTTTCTTTAGTATTCTTTGTAGAATTTTTTTCATTGTCTGATTTTTCATTCCAGGATTTCTTCTGAATAGTCTACTTACTTGCAGTGATCTCTTTTTCCAGATTCTTTTTTGTTGTCAATCTCCGCTTCATTTCTATTATTTTGTTGTAGGAAATTAAATCTGGTTTGTCTTTTTTCTTCCATTGCTATCCTAGTCTTGCTCATACCATAGTTTTCCCGTAGTCTATATTAAAAAATATGTTAATTTAATTTATTATTTAATTAGTTAGTATAGTTTAATTAATTATTTTAAAACTATTTTTCTATAATGTTCACCAGTATATGTAACAGTTATATTTACTGAAAAATACCGTTCCACATAGCACACCCTTGTTTACTACTCAATAGTAGGTAACATTAATGTTAGCTCTCTCCTGCATTATGGTACGTGGTACTAAAAACGCACCTGGTTACTTGTTATGCTGATAGAACAACCCGTTTGAATTTTTATCTACTCGAAGGTTTATATTTTATTAAGTTGTCCTGAACATTTTCTTCGCAAGAGGGTTTCCCCTTAATAGTCGGTATTTAATTTAAATTTAAAACATTTGCGATTGAAGTTTATGAACTCTGGTAATGGCTGTATTAGAGTTAAGTATGTAAAAGGAGTGAATATCGCTTGATATTCTTACTCACTTATGTTTCCAAGAACCGTAGTAATTAAATAAAATACAAGAATTATAAAAAATATATTTCCTCAAAAGTTTATTAATTATTCGCCAAGCAGAAACACGTAGTTTTGTATAAAATTTTATTTTCCTAAAGGTGCCTATATTGACCCATCTTATTCTATTCATAGCAACTCGAAATAGATTAGTTGACGTTAGACCAGTCCATTTCCTAAGATTGGCCAGCCAGAATATACGTCTGCGCCTCTCTTGCCCTCAATCTTGCTTTGTAGAATCAACTGTAGAAGTCGGTAATTATTATTACGCATAATGTGGCCAAAATAAACCAATTTTCTTTTATTTATGGTACTATACTATATTATAATATTTTTTTGTCGTTTCTTAGCCTTTGGAAAATAGTTATGTTAGTTATGTGGTATATTCGTATGCCAGTTTTTGTATTCATTGTCATTTCTATGTCATCTTTTGATTCTGCTAAATAGGATGTTGGTTCTTATGCGCATCAAGACAAAATCAAGGATAATTATCTAAATTTCAAATTGCAAAAACAGCTTGGACTACACCCAAAGATTATAAGTTTCCAATTTCTACAACACAAAATTTGCGCTTTCGAATGAAATGGATGAAAAGATTCCTATGGTTGTCGTATTCTAAATATAAAAATAGAGTATATTATAGAATTTTCGTTGTTAAAAGACGCTCGCTTAATAATGGTAAAATAGGCCATCCGCGTTTTGGCCAGCCTATAACAGGCCGTTTTTGCAAGTAGGTGTGTGTGAAAGAAAGATATGGCACAGAAACAAGTCCATCAGCCACAGAATGTTTTATTAAGGTATATTTTTTTTTGTTCTTGTTTGTTACTTTTATCTAGATATATGTATAAATCACTAAAGTTATACTAATTTATATTTCTACTTTTACATCTTTAATAAAATTTACTAGCAATTCAATTAGCAAGTTTTCTCTATTAGCAAAAATGCACTATAAATGTTTTAGAGAAACTCGCAGTAACTCTTTAAAAGTAATGTGTTCTCAAGCTTTTTCAGTCGAGGAGTCATATTTATGACCATCATTCTAAAGAATGATGGTTAAAAAATGCTCTTTACACGAGTTCACAAATCCAAAATAAAATAATTGACACTTGTGGTGACCTGATTCAACAAGATTATCGGTGAAGTAAAGGCTGCTAATTTTTTTTTTAATTTTCGCTGACGAACAATGCGTGGAGCAAGTCTTGCTGTGCTTAAGATATGTTAATTTAAAAGATGTTAAACAACATAAAGTAAAGAAAAAGTTGTTAGAGTATAACTGTAGACGTGACAGAATTCAGTCTATTATTTTGAATGTATTTTCTAATCCTAAATAAAATAATGCTATGTGATGTAAAGCTATATAAAAAAGCATGAATTTGAATATTCTCAGGTTATGATACGGGTAGCGGGTAGGAACTCCTTTGGAGTACCTTAGATTCTATTGGATAGTTCTATCAGGGAAAGTGAATCAATCTATGCCCCCCGCAGATTTCAGGAGCTTTTTGACCCGAGAAGCTAGCACCTGCTAAGGGTCCCTTGTCCAGGGTCACGGATGAAGTCCAGAGAAGATGGCGGAGCTGGCAACTCTTGATTTTAGGGCTAGTATAAGATCACAAACCTAGAAGCGTCTGACCCTGAGCGGGCAGCTTCAAACAGCGTCGGTACTCACAATGAGCGGCTGAACTAAAAACTCACCAACCCGCCTTGCCAGCGTGGTGTTTCAAGGCAAATACCACCCAACAAAATGTTAGATTTTAAAACACAAGCGGATGTACCCCAGTTTATAGCGAGAAATCGAAACTCTCACCCTGATTTATCAGTCTGTCCTAAGGATTCTGGGGGGAGGGACAACAAACTGACAACGCGAAAGACGAAAAAACCTTTAACAATCTTTATCTGTACCTACAATACCAGAACATTATTTTATCTGAAGAAAAATTCACTTAAATGGAAATCGAGATGTCAAAAGTAAAATGGGATGACATAATTACTGACAAAAAATATATATTCAACGATGTCACAGTCCTTAATAGCTTTACCACTGGCAGCGATCATATAATGATAAGAGCCAAACCAAAATTAGACTTAATAATAGAAAGATCCAAAATGATTAGGAAGAAAGCCAACCCAATATGGAACGATCCAACGAATTGAAATGCATATTAAGGCAATATCAATAAAATCCTACAACAAAATGAATGCTTAAATAATGTAAATGCCCTAAACGAAAATATCGTAGAAGCTATTCGAGAGACTTAAGTAAAATGTTGCCCTAAAAGACGCCAAGACGAAAAAATAATTATTGAAACAAAGCAACTAATGGAAACTAGAAGAAAAATCAAAGGAAAGAAAGCATTGACGAAGAAAAACTGCAAAAAATAAACAAAGAAGTATCAAAATCTATAAGCAAAGATTTAAGGAAATTTAAGAATGAAAAAGTCCAGCGAACTATAAAAGAGAATAAAAGTCTGAAAGTCCTGAGAAGACGACTAAACAATAAAAAATGCGAAATACACAAACTAAAGAACAAAGAAGGAGTCCCCACATCAAATAGAGAAGAACTATTACACATAGTTGAAGACTTCTATCAAGAACTATACACAAGCCAAAGAGAAGACCAAAAGAACTTAAAAGCCGCTGCAGCACGAAAAATTATCAACCAGGGTTCAGAGCTCATGCCAGAGATCACAGTAAGCGAAATCCAGGACGCAAAGAAAAAGATGAAAACCAACAAAGCGCCAGGAGAAGATGGAGTCGTAATAGAAGCTGTAAAGATGGGCGCACATATCCTTCTAAAGAAAAAAAATGTTGTTTAACCTTTGTCTACTAGATTCTTGCATACCAAAAACATAGAACAATGCAGTAAGAATTTTACTACATAAAAAAAGAGACAATGCGCACCTAAAAAACTTTAGACCAATCAGTTTATTAAACCACATGTATAAAATGTTTACCCGAATGATTACGACAAGAGTAGAGAAAAAGTTAGATTTCTACCAGCCCCGAGAACAAGCTGGCTTCCGCTCAAAATTCCGAACAAACGATCACCTACAAACAGTAAAAACCTTAACAGAAAAGTTGCTAGAATATAACAGACGACTGGTACTTATCTTCGTAGACTTTCACAAAGCTTTCGACACTGTGGAATTAGATAGCATTATAACTGCTCTGAACAATAGTAGAATAGGTTACCGGCTTACAAAGTTAGTACAAACATTTTACCAAAACGCTACAATGCGTGTAAAACTACATGATACCACCAGCAAAATTCATATCAAGCGAGGTGTGAAACAGGGCGGCACTCTCTCACCTAAATTATTTATAACGGTCTTCGAATACGCCTCTAAAATGATAAAGTGGGAAAATAGAGGAATAAAAATATTTGTAGAAGCTCAATCATCTACGTTTTGCCGACGACATAGTACTTATTACCGAAGATCTGGGTGAAGCACAACAAATGCTACAAGAATTAGAAAACGTATCTTCAACAATAGGTCTAAAAATAAACATTAGTAAGACCAAATTTATGACCAATTTAGTTCCCAGCGAATACCTAACCATCCAAAATCAAGTGGTAGAGACATCTTTAAGAGCAACATCTCGATAGCTATGAAACGGAAGACATTTGACCAATGCGTTCTTCCTATTATGACATACGGAGCAGAAAGCTCACGCTCACAAAAACAACAGCACTAAAAATGCGAGTGGCACAAAGGCGCATGGAAAGATCAATTCTTGGCGTGACAGAAAAAGACAAAATAAGGAATCAAGACTTAAGGAAAAGAACAGGTATCAGTGATATCGTCGAATGTATAGCCAAGCTAAAATGGAATTGGGCAGGTCACATAGCGAGACTGAAAGACACAAGATGGACCAGAAAACTAATTGACTGGAGCTCACGAGAAGAGAAAGGCAGCAGAGTACGACGACCAACACGTTGGATGGACGACATTAGACGAACATTCAAGAAATGGCAACAAGAAGCACAGAACCGTGAAGAGTGGCAAAAAATAGAAGAGACCTATGCCCAGTAGTGGATAGAAGAGGTTGCATGATGATGATGATGATGATACGGGATATAGTTTGTACGGTTTCCAAGCATATATTCGTCAAGAATATCCTCTTGCTCTTTATTTGTGCAGATTTTACCATCTGTTGGTTTCTACTTTAGATATCTAACTCAACGCACACTGCCTTCATAAAAGACAAATTCGGGATCTGTTACCAGATGATCATTAACAAGCCTGCTTGCGATGTGCTAAACACAGTGGGTTTACAAGCATGAAGCTTTTATAAAATTTGAGGAAATTTATTCACTCCAATCTAGCCACGATAAAGAAATATCTAAACACGGCGTCTAAATTTTTAAACCCACTTTGATCTTCGAATTTTGTTATGTACCTAGTGCTTCTTTAAAAAATCATGAGTTATATAATTATCGTCGCTATCAAAGCAATTGCATGCAATTAACACAAACCTCATACCAGCCATGTTGATGATGTTTTCATTGTTTTGCAACGTTTAAAGTTGACGAAGAGTAAGGCAGTTAAAGGCACTCTCTGGTGTGTTTTTTTTTTTCACTACTACCCCATAAAGGGCTTTTTCGAGCCTAAGATGACTTAAAAACTACGTGTGCAACACAACGAGTGAAAGCATGCTGAACGGCTTTGCTCTCATGAACATTCACTATGAGATAGAAATTAATACTAATTATGTATTAATTAAGTAGTGAATATATTTTAAAAGAAAAATAAGAACATTGATCGAAAAAGAACTTATCCAATTCCTTCCAGGTGTTTTTTTCTGTACCAATTTTTTACATCCTTAAAATTTTTTGTTTGAATATAAGGGTTATTTTATGTACTTTTAGTTCTTTAATTTTCTTAAATCCCCCCGAAACTAAAACCTGTACTAGACAGTAATCGAACAGTCTTTTAACATTGTTATTCCTTTTTGATTCTCCACATTTTCCTATTATTGATATATAATAGTGATCTCTTTTCCCTATTCTACCATTAACATTTTCTACAGGTTACTTATTTCCCTTGCTAGCGTAAGTTACTTGTGATAATTCTTCCTATAAACATTCTTTTCTGCGTTTTCATCTTCTTTCACGATAAGCGGTAATTAAGCTCTTAATTTGCTCATTATATTTAATTTCAACCATAATTATTCTTTCTGGTAAACCATTTAGACAAAAAAATTTCTTTTATTGGCGTATATTATTTACCCTCCTGTTGCTCTTTCTATTCCATCAAATCCACTGTATAAAATCAAATGTTCAGTTTCTAGTTCTACTTTTCCTTGGTCTTTCCTTTTCGTTTCGGCTAAACGAAACGAAAGCTAACTAGGTAACAATTCTTGCTTTCCTATTTTCCATATTTATCTTTGTATTTCTTTTCATGTTAACCTATTTTTCACTCGTGCCACCTCGTTTGCCTTATTGATATATTATTTAGTTTTATGTAATGCAGTTTTTTAAGTTAATTCGTCCCTCTCTTTGATCTATCTTTATTCCGTATTGTCTACTATAAGTTCACCTACTATCAGTTCCACCAAGGAACTGCTTTATGATTTGGAGAGAATGATGTTTTGCCAATATGAGTCTTAGCAACTAAAAGAATGGTGTCTGTTATTGACGTTAACAAATAGTCTACATCATTGATTATTGGATGATCATGAGCGACCAAGAGGATATCAACAGCTTTTGAATACTCTGGCCAGTTAGCTTTATTTAGGCGCCAATAGCTGTTGGCAGAGACAGCCCCATTACAATTATTGGAAATTATTATAGAATAATGATTGCTATCAAAGAGATCGTCAGCTGTTTGCCAGGTTAAAAAAGGTGCAGATTTAGTGTCACTAATACTAAGATCTATTTTCTATCTTTCCAGAGGAAATATTAAAATGAGTATTAGATTCTGTGTTAAGAAGACATGAGTTTGTGCAGTTAATAATGTTTTCAACTACTTTTCCCCGTCCAAATGTTGATTGAGAACCCCACATACTGTTATGTCCATTGAAGTCTCCTGTGAGTATAAACGGCTGTGAAAGTTGAAATATAAGGTCTACGAGCTTTTCTTATTTTAGAGAATGGTTTGGAGGAATATATATGGAGCAGATGGTAAGTTTATTAGAGCAATATGTAGTTATGGCAATTGCTTAAAGATTCGTTATTAATGGTAGCATTGTTGAGAAGATTTTGCTGGACGCAAATATTGATGCACCTCCACTAGCTCTGAAGCAGTTCGTTCTAATAAAGTGGTATCTTTGAAAGGATTTAGGATGAGGAATATTAATTGTATTAAAATTAGTCTCTTGGTGACAAAGAAAATCTGGATGGTAAATTGATATAAGATATTGAATGTGTTCAAGGCGCGGATAGTATCCGTCGCAGTTCCATTGTAAAATAGTGAATTTGAAAACTTATTTGGTTAATAGAAAGAATATACCTTGTACTAATTAAGTAATTTTAGAAGTGATCGATATCATTGCAGTTAGAGTCACATGAATTATTGGACGTAAGGCTGGTAAGTTCGTCAGCGTCTATAGAATTTAATGTGCGTTTTAGCTTTTTCGTTATTCTTGTAATGCGATTTTTAAGTGATCTATCGGATGCAATTTGGTATACCTATTTGTGTAAGATCTTCGAGGAGAGAATGAATGTTCGTGGTGAAATTATGAGCTTCTTTGAGAGGATCACTACTCCCAAAGGAATTTTCTAGGAAGGCAATTATTTGTAATGCTGATATAGAAAATTTTTCTGGATTCGCACAAATTAATTTTTCAATACTTGAATGGGCAGATGGACTAATTTTACCAATTTCTTTGTCACCAGTTTTTGTTTTCTTTTTAGGAGCTGATTTAGAAGTTGCGAAGGTTGTTGTGTTTGGTGTGTTATTAGAGTTTAAGTTTAGGGGGCTAGCGGTAACCAGTAAAGAAGGTGATTCAAGACTTGTGTCAGTGGAATGAGTTCTTTTTATGCCAGAGTTAGAAAGGACAGATAATGGTGTTATATACTGTTCATTTGGGGTTGTTATGTCAGTAGGTGGGTTATTTGAATAGATGTCCTTTTTTTGAGGAGGGTGAAAGAGAAGATATACTAGAAGGAGGATCAATTGGGATTTGGCTAGAAGTTGTATTTGGAAAGGGATTGCTAGATATTTCTTGAGGGTTAGGGCAGGAGTCTGCAGGGTGTCCAGATTGTTTACATAACAAACATTCTAGTTTGTCCGAAGTAATAAAGATCCTATAATTTGTATTTTCATATGAGATTACAATCGAAGTATTTAACTCAAAGTATTCTTTATCTGGTATCACAAAGATTGAGCGTCGAAAACTGAAGATGTGAGCATATTCGTCTTCCGGAGAACTACAAAGGATATGCGAGATAGGGGAAGCAAGTTGTAATCCAAGTTCATTTTTAAGTGCTTGCTCTATGAGTGCATTCGAAATCGAAGGACACACGTTAGAAAATAGTAGCCTCTTTGCAGGAGTGATAAGTCTGCGAATAGATATTATTTGATTTCTAACCGAAATAGTCAGATTATTTCTTAGAAGATATCTATTACGGTTACGGAAAAAAGATAGATGCATATACGCTGGTTAGAAATACGTGAAGCAAAGGTTATTTCTTTAGGGGTAACAATTTCGCCGATTGCCTTTATGTAATTAAATAGTACTACATCTGAGATAGCGTTCATAACAATGGCTTGAGTTCTACTTAGACATAATGAAGCTAGGTTGAGCTGTTTGTGATGATGATGCCATAATTTGATTTTAATATTTTGGATGCCAAAATATTAAGTATGGCCAGAAACGACTGGCCTAATTTTATTTGTCGAAAGTATCGACTTGTATTTACTTCATAAACAATCATATTAAACTAACAAGTTTTTATTAAAAATACTATTAGTAGAAGCCTGATGTTTACTCGTTGGCTTCTGAAATAGGAATCAACAGAATTTTTACATTGTTGCAGATTGTTGGATAATGAAACTTCTATATTAATGACACAAATATACTACATTATATACTTTGATGTGATGTCGACAGTACTGTAGTTTTCTAAGAAGTAAATTAATATGTATAACTTCAAATGCTATTCTAAAATCCAAACAAATGTGTCTTCATATATAAATAATTTTCAATTAATTATTGAACGCTGCAGTATTATTTTATTACATGAATGTTTAACATGAAAACCAGACTCTATGTAGTGACTAATCTGATAATAAACTGCTGTGTGTTCTTTTCTTGGTTTACAGTCTTGACTTTTGAGATGCTGTAAATCATTTTCTACTTTAACAAAACAAAGTCTTTTACTAAATAGAGCTTGTTTAACGAGATTACAATCACTGCAGAAAAATCTAACTGATAATTGTTTTAATAATTTTACTCTATAATTGTCTTAGGTTGTTGTAACTTAAAATGATACCAACAGTAACAAGATGAAATTACTTTGTAGACAAACTGATGGTAAAACACTACATCTAGTTGTTTTTCTGCAAAGGTTTTCATTTTCTCTGTCAGTGTATTACTTTCCTCCATATTAACTCTTGTATGTTGTTTCTCCTATCTCCATTTTCTATATTTTCTAATCTTAAATTTATTTGTTTAATTTGATCGTTTAATATCTAGTTTTATTTTTCAATCATTTCACTCTTTTTACCTATTTCTTTCATGCTATTCATATATTATTTATTTTCGCTATTAGTTCTTTTATTTCTTAATGTAGTGCTTGAACATTGTCAACAAATCTTCTAATTGACTTTTTATTTTTAAGATCAGGTTTAATATTCCCTTCATCACGAGTACAGTTTGATACGGAAACTCTACTCAGTTCAAGTATGGCGGTGAAAGTTGGACAGTGGACTCTCAAACAGAAAAAAGATAGATGCCCTTGAAATGTATATATATATATATATATATATATATATATATATATATATATATATTTATATATATATATATATATATATATTTAAACGGATGATGAGAATTCCATGGGTACAAAAAAAAATTACCAATGGTGAGGTACTTTGGAACATGTGTAAACAAAAAGAATTACTACTAAAGTATAATTAAAGAGAGAAAAACACAATACTTAGGTCATGTGTTAAGAGGTGAAAGATATGTATGTACATGCACAGAAATCTTTTGTGCAGCAGTTTCCAAAACTACAATTGCCATTTGGATCAACAACCTTCGAAAGAAGACTTCACAATAAAAATAAGAAGAAAGGAAATTACACAGCACCAAAAACAATCCAGAAAGGCTCACAAGAAGAAAATTAATTTTGATAATAATACCATATATAAAGGGCTTATCAGTAAAATTAAAATGTATAGGAAATAAATACAATATCGCAACAAAATCAAAACAACCATCACACTGAGATAAATTCTGTCCAAAACCAACGAACAACACAAAGAAGAAATTAAAACACTTTATGTATAAAGTGCCATGTAAATCCAACAATTTTTTTATGTACGAGAAACCTCAATACCACAAAGTATTAGTATATACGTATATAAGCATAAATCATACATCAAAAACAGAGACTTCGACAAATCCCACATATGCAAAGAAGCATCAACAGTTATGAAAGAAACAATCACCAAAAATAGAAAAAGCAAAGAAGCAGCACTAGCTTATTTAATAAAGATAAATGTGTACAAAACACATTAGCAGAATTATTCTGCTAATGTGTTTTGTACACATTTATCTTATTTATATAGCAGACTCTGGGTAATAATACTAAAAGAAGAAATCAGTAAAAAAATATACCAACACTAATGGGGTAATAGAAGTCAGAGGCACAACATCTAAAATTAATTACATAAGCACGCAAAAATCAGAATGTAATATCAATCCGAGAACACAACATTTTATATTACAATTACAATTTATATCTTTTTGAAAAGATTTCCGAATTGAAACTCGAAACGTCAAAAACAAATAGGATGAATTATCTTATCTCTTTCTATTGTTTTTTCTGTGGACTTTGACTTCGTGTACTTTTTTATTACTATGTAAAATGTAATTTTCATTACAATCAATGGTTTATTCTTCTTTGTTTATTCTATAAATAATTTCAATTTTCTTTTATCGTACCTACTTGTAATTTATCTATACAAGATACGGTTTATAAAAATATATTTTTATCAAGTCGTTTAATCGAACAGAAAATAACTTCCCTCACTCTATGAAGATCGCACGCAGTGTGTTTGTCACACAACCTGTACCTCAACCAAGCGTGCCTCCCTGAGTCCCCGTGCCTGCTGCTCTACGAACACGAGCTAACGGCAAGTTTACACGCTTCAGA